CCTCTTTTCCACCAGGAGCAGTCAAATGCTGCTGAGGGTCAACCCCATCAGAGGCAATTCCCACAGAACACCTATTTCCCCGAAGTTTCCACTAAGTCTCAACATGCCTTGGCTTCATCTAGGGTTAGCCAGACCTCGAAGTTCTCCCATTGGGTAGGCATTGGGGCTTTCATGGTGAACTCTGGGAACAAAAGGAAAACTGGGGTCACAGGACCCTTTCCCCACCCTATCCATCTTCAGTTGTGCGGATGAACTGAGTTCTCCTGCTTGGGGCTTGGTCCCGCTCAGGTTCCAGGAGGCCAGGATGCTGGTGGCTTTCCTTTGAGGCTCCAGCCTTTCCTGGGTCCTGGGTGCAGCCACCAGAGGTCAGGATGCTGGGCAAATACTGAACAAAGCAGAATGCAAACAGGATGGCATTCCCAGGCTAATGGCCTGTGCCAGGCGGCCTCCTGAAGATGCTGGGAGGGGGTTCTTTCTTTGACTTTTTTCCTTTCTTTTTCTAAAGGGAGAATAGTTCCGCTTTCTATTTTACTACAACAATAGCCTGGAATGGCTCCTTCAAGTGTGTCAAAAAGCAGCCTGAGAAATCTCTACCCAGCCCCTCCGTCTCACCAGCCTGTGGTTTTATTGTTTCCCCATCCCAGGGAACAAAGGGGAGGGCAGGGTAAAGGCCTCACTCCTGGCTGTTCTCCGCATCCGAATCCTTCAGAAGCAGTGAGGGAAATGGCCTCTGGAGCCCGTAAATCACACTCACCTCCCCTTTCAGTTTGCTCTCAAATCTTGGGAGCACCTTGTGATAGGAAAGGCGGCGGTGCTGAGAGGGTTGAACCCAGTGACCTTGTGGTAGAGGCAGGTGGGCTCCAGGGTTCCCAGAAAATCTCAGAGAGAAAGGTTCAGCCTGGGGTGCGATGGTGGGGGGGGGGGGCATGTACAGTAGAGAAATAGGCGGTCCGGGACCGCCTCTTTCAGTAACGCATTTTCTCTTCCACTTTACAATCTTGTCTGACAGCCATGCCTGGCTTTTTTAACCTCCACCCAGTCATGGTATTCTTGGTCTTCCACTTTTTTCTGAACAACTCCCTCTTCCCTGTCAAAAACCATGAACTGAGCAGTAAGCACCAAGGAGGCAACTCTGTGGATCTTGTTCCCACAAGGGTTATTCCAAGAACCCTGATGGCCGAGTGGTTAGGGACTGGACTGCTAGCCACCAGGTCAGCAGTTTAAATTCACCAGTCACTCCATGGGCGGAAGATGTGATTTTTCAATCCTGTGAACAGTTCCAGGCTTGGGAACCCCCCGGGCAGGTCTATCCTAGCCTATAGAGTCGCTATGAAGCAGAAGCGACTAGATGGCAGTGAGCCCCCAGCTGGGCCAGGCACTGGGAATGCTGTTTGCCCAAATGTCCAGGGATCAAGGCGCAGGTGTCGCGTCAGAGTTACAGGTTATGTGAGCAGAACAGGCTTTCCTGTCCCTGGAACTTGTCCGTAGAATTTCCTAAAACCCTCATCTAAAATCACCACTGACTAAAGGAAACCCAAAACCCGACGTTTCCCAAACCACACCATGTACCAGGCAAATACAAACCCAGCCTTCTGATTGCTCACCAGCTCGACACCCTTAGAGGCTATGTAACAAAGGGGCCTGCTGTTTGCTTTGCCTAATCTGCTCTTACAATCTCTGCTTCTTTGTCAGAAAACAATATTTGCGATTGTTAGAAAAATATTTACCAAGGAACTTGGATAGCAGAAGTCAAAGGCTAAGAGCCAGAGGTCAGTAGCTCTTACCCCAAATTTCCCTGGACCTGCGAGTCCCTGCTGGGGAGCTGAGCTCCGCCAAACAAACACACTGCTGCCCGGGTCCATTCAGCAGCAGACATTTGAGAAGGGGAGGAAGGGAAGGCACTGGAAGGCTGCACTATGTTCCTTAGCCAGAAACACGCACTCCACCTCCTGCCACATAGAACCCCAGCTCCGTCTTTGCAAGGGAGTCCTCTCCACAGGGGCGTTGCAGGGACCCCCCCACCCCCACCCCCACTTCACAAACTGAAACTACTCAACGCGCACCCCCCTAGAGGGCAGATGTTCTTGCTAAGGGCAGCAATGGCGATAGGCTCCCCTGTGGTCAAAGGCCAGATGCTACCTTCACATCTCTGTGGGTGAGGCCGCATGCCTGTCAATGGAGGACAGATGTGTATCCTGAGAGCCTCCGAGGGACCCTTACCTCACAAAGGAGACAGTGCCCTCCCTCGTGGGCTGACTCTTCCAAGTTGGGTGGGGTTGTGGAGCTGTGAGGCTGCAGGGGCACACCACTGTCCCCAGAGTGTTCAACAACCAGGACTGAGACACTACTTGTAGGTCAGGTGAGCTTCGAGTTGAAGGTACTTCACTCTGAGCCAGAACTCTACTTCTTCCAAGTCCCATACCGCAGGGCACAGGCTGGCAAGGCCTGGTCCCCAAGGGAAAGGCCCTGCTAGGACGTGAAAACCGAGAAAGGAAATAGAGGAACGAGAAGGAGACGGGGACGGTCGGGCTCATGGAGTGATGACAAAGTGCCCCCCCCACCCCAGCTGCTGGTCTGGTTCTTTAGCCCCACCAGGGAGATGGCCGGGAGGCAGTGCTGGCTCCTCCCTACGGGTTTGAGACCTTACTGGCCAGTCCCTCACTCTGAGGACCCCCAGGGTAGGGCAGTTTCTAGGTTGCTTGGTTTGAGACGCTTTCTTCGGTTGTTATGAAATTCTGTAGTTCTCCCTCAACCCCACTTCAGTCGTCTGTCAAACTCTTGCTGCAACTGCCAATCTCTTTTCTAGCATCGGTCAGTTCTGGCCTTTGAGTCTGTCCTGAAGTCTCCACAGTGGTCATCACCACTGGCAATGACTGGGCAGCAGGCGGAGCAATGAGCACTTTAAAGATATGGCTTACCCAAGGACCTTACCTTGGAGAACCAGGCCTTCCTCCTCGATGGTGTAGACAAATGAGATGAAAGGAGCCAGAGGGGACTTGGCAATGAGAACCTGCACACAAAGCATATTTTCTCATGTTAGGCCGAGGAGATATTAGGGAGGCACCTTTACTCACTCCCCTTCCCACCAAAAATGTTGAGGCAAAGTGGGAACATATGACTCTAAGTCGTACGGTTTATTTAAATCAAAGATTATTTTAAAAGGAAATGCTCAATGAATTGGACCCCAATCAGAGTGGTCACTTTGAAATGTCACACGACTCTTATTCTGTTACTGAATGCTTCTAGAAAGAAGTCTCCTTATTTTATGTCATTACTCAAACAGCTACTTTTCTGTCCAAACATAGCTGAGCCTGACATTCAAATTTTATTCATCAAATTTAGACAAAGCCACCCTTAGAAGGAGTGACCATCTCTGAATACATAACTACTCCTCACTTATTGACGGTCTTGTTACCTGACATTTTGCATTTACAAAAATAATAAACGATCCACTCTCTGACTGTTCTGTGCATGAGTGATACATCTGGGAGGAACGCTGGCTCCAATGGTCAAGGTTATGTGTCAATTTGGTTGTGCCACACACTAATTATCAAAGTGGTCTGAAAGTCATGCAATGATGTAATCATCTTCCATTTTGTGATCTGAGATGTGTATCCCCCGTTTTCACATCATAGCCTGGTCTTCTAAACTGGGCCACACTGATAAATGAGAACAGGGTATATTCAAAACAACGTGCTATAGAACAAGCTAACTATACTAGGCTGTGTGGTGTGGCTGGCTCCCACGCTTCGCTCCTGCCTGTATTCATGTCCGTTGTTGTGTGGCTGCATTTCTTCTGACTAAGGAGTGGAGTATTTCCGGTCACCCTTGACTGTGGGTTTGGCCTCATGACTGGCTCTGGGAAGTAGGTTATGTTAGTTTCCAGCCTAGCCCTCGAGAAGACTCACATCGTTCTACTTGTCCACCCATGCTCTGCCAGTGCCACAGCAAAACACACCCAAGCTAGTCTGCTGTCCTGGAAGGGTGATGAGTGTCCCGAAGCAGAGCTGCCAGCTGGGCCGTCACCCTCAGAGATCCCTGTGCATATGGATTAAATGCTTATTGCTATTAGCCTTTGAAATCTTTGACTTGCCACAAAGCATCATTGTCGTAGCAGTTAACTGACATACCAGCTAAGAAGAAATAACAGAGTTGCTTTCAGTAACGCGCTGTCCTTGGAAGGCATTCACTTTAAAGGGAAGGAGGGTCATTTGGTCATGAAAAGAATCAGTATGGTTAGCCCATTCTCACATCTCATGTGGTTCTACAGAGCCTTTAAGGACTGGTGGGCTAGTTCATGATATCATTTCTACTCCAGGAAGGTGAATGTTAGCTTTCTGGCTGGCAACGAAAAACATGCTGCCGTGAGCTGGTTCTGACACCGAGTGAGCCCGCAGGACTGATCAAATTGCTCGGGTGGTTTCCCAGACGGCCCCTCTTCCCAGAAGCATACTGCCTCACCTTTCTTCCTGAGGCAGCGGGGGCTCAGCAGCGGGGGCTCAGATGGCGAACAATCAGTTGGCATTGCCCAACACAACCCGCAGTGCCATCAGAATGGCTCCACATACAAGGAAATCATCAAACAGAGTGGTAGTTTGGTGAGTAGAGAAACGACACAAAACATTTTAAATAACCCAAAGGTTAATATGTAATATCTCTGTATCTCAACTCACCAAACACTTACTGTCAACTGTGAGAAGTGCAATGTGTTTGAATCTAAACTCCTACACTAATTAGCTAAGTGCCTCTGGCAAGACCTATTCATTACCACCCGTTCCTCCTGCTTCCTTTCAGTAAGCAATCCCCCAAATTTCAACATTTATTTGTCTCTTTGGAAGCTGCCTCTTTAAAAGCTTGTAGGGGCCATGGTGGCACTGTGTGTTAGACATTGGGCTGACCACTACAAGTTTGGCAGTTCAAATCCACTATCTACTTTGGGAAGAACGTGGAGATTGTCTGCCTCCATAAAAATGTATCGTCTTGGAAATCCTGTGTAGGGTTGCCATAAGCTGGAATATAGATTACAACTTAATGTAAAGGAAACAATAGGCAGCATCGTGATAAACAGAGAAAAGATGGAGTTGTCAGGATTTCATCTTGCTTGGATCCACAATCAATGCTCATGGAAGTAGCGGTCAAGAGATATAATGACGCATTACACTGGGTAAACATGCTGTACAAAAACTCTTTAAAGTGTTGAAAAGCAAGGTTGTGATTTTGAGGACTAAGCTGAGCCTGACCCAGGCCATGGTATTTTCAATTCCCTCCTGTGCATGTGAAAGTTGGACATTTAATACGGAGGATTGCAGAAGAATGGATGCATTTGATTTATGGTGCTACCGAAGAATATTGAAAGTACATGGACTGTCAACAGAATAGACATCTCTGTCTCTGTGGGAGAAAGGTAAAACTGTCTACTCCCGTAAAGATTTACAGTCCTGGGAGCCCACAGGGTTCCATATGACTGGTAATCGACTCAATGGCAGTGAGCTTTTGAGTTTTGTGACTGTAAGAGCCTCGGGGAGGGTAGCACAATGGTCAAAGTGCTCAACTCCTAACCCCAAAGTGGGCTCTCTGAATCCACCAGATGCTCCACAGGAGAAAGAAGTGGCAGTCCAATTCGGTAAAGCTTACAGCTTTGCAAACCTCCGGGGTGCGGTGCCGCCCAGTCCCGGAGGGTGGGTTTAGTTGTGGTTGTTATTGTAGTGTAGCCTGAATGCTAATTGATAGAGCAACTCTGGACCACTTGACCTTGCATCTTAGTTTTCTCACAGGTAAAATGGGGATAACACCATCTACCTACCTGGGATTGTTTTAAGAATTAAACTAAGTACAGTCATGCATCACTTAATATCCACAATACATTCTGTAAAGCAGGGTGCTGGGTGATTGAATGTTGTGTGAATACTGTATCATATACAGGCGGTCCTGGGTTGCAAACCAGATTCATTCTTAAGTCTGTCTTTAAGTCACATCTATATATTGTTCGGAATAGTTAGATATCATATTTAACTCCAGCTAGTCAAATGTTTATCTTAGTATACATCTTTAACATAATAATAACAACATTGTTTTGATGCACATCCCAGAGAACGTTTGTTATTATAAATTATTGTATGTACCTTGAATTTTTAATACAGTTGGCTTTATGGGGGCTGGGACCATGGACTTATATGCAGTTGGACATTGCCCAAATTGGGGTTATGTGGTGCATGACTGTATATAAAATGCTTGTCAGTCTTTCAAACATTGTTAGTACATAATAAATAATAGGTACACTTCCAATCAATTCTTCATATATGCTTTCCAACTGTTTAACTCTCACTCACCAAGCACCAATAAACTTTGGGCTTTCTGGTTGGACCTCAACAATCTTACAGCAGTTCTAAAGTTATCTGGAAAAACATGCTCATCATTCTCAGAGCCAGTGTCTTTGTTTCTTAGGGATGCAAATGATAAAATACTACAAAGAACATGGCTCTAAAGAATAAGAATATAACATTCGTCAGTTCTGGAAGCAAGAAGGCCAATCAGGGTATCACCCATGCCGATTCCTTCTGAGGGTTCTGAGAGAAGAACAGGCCTCCCTCCTCCCTTCTGCTTTCTGCCTTTGGCTGCCTGTAGAAGTCTCTTCAGAGACTGTCTCCCTGTCTCATCTCCCCTTTTATAAGACACCACTCAGAGGGGGTTACGACCTACCCTGCCCTGGTATGAACTCATGAACTGATAACATTTTCAAAGGAAGACACTACAGTTGACCCTTGAACAATGTGGGGCTTTAAGGATGCTGACTCCCAGCACAGTTAAGAATACTCTTAACCTTTGATTCTACCCTCACCCCCAGTTTACCTACTAATAGTCAACTGCCAACAGGTAGTCTTATTGATAAGAGAGTTGATGGATACATTTTGTGTGTTATACATACCACACTGGGGCCTGCACCCAAATAAAAGCTGCATTTTCAATGTGAGATTAAAAAAAAAAGGTATTTTGCAAACAGCGCATCATGTTCGTGCTTTCAGTGAGAGCTTCATAACTTTCCTTTTCTTTTTGTATGATGGTCAGTGGGCTGGATTCTTTGATCTTGGCTTGGAGGGCAACCAGAACTGCAGAGCTCAATCTATACAAGGTGCACTTCAAGCAGCCCAACTCTTCTTCATGACGTCGTGACTTTCCTCCGCTTTTGGGGAGCACTGCCACACCGTTAGTGGCACTTTGCATGAGTCCTGGGGTGATTCCAGGTCTACGGTATTGCACCTAAGCACAATGAAAAAGACACAGGAACCTCCAGAGATCACGTTGACTGGGACAGGCAACTTACTGGCGAAGTGAGCTGCTCATGTAGAGATGATTAGTATCACATGGTATTTTCTTTAACAACAACAACAACAAACTATCTAAGTGGGCCTACACAGTTCAAACCTTTGTTGTTCACACATCAGCTGTTTCATCTTTCTTTGAAAAGGCCACATTCACAGGCATAGGAGTTGGGATTTTTTTCAACATTATTTTCTGGAGGGATGTAATGACCAGAGAGTAAACGTTGGGCATTTACATCTTCCTGGCAAGAACATCTCTACAGACAATGAAAGTTTGGGTTCTTTTCTGACAGATAGCTTAGGGGTGAGTCAATGTGAGACTTGCGCCATGTGGCTTGCGGGGTGGGGGGTGGGGGGATACCATGGAAGAAGAAAGGGCAGTTCGTGCTGCTCTAACTTCCTCTGGCTGTGAATGGCCCAGTAAATATGCAGATTCTGAGTCGGTGGGGCCTGAGAGTCTGCAAGTCTAAAAGCTCCCACAGCGGATGCTGATACTGTGGTCCAGAGGCCACATTTTATGAAGTAAGGATTCAGGCAATTAACTGGAATGAAGAATCTAAGAGGGAGAAACAGGAGGTTGGAGGCCTAGAGCTCGTTAGGAGGTTATTGTGATCATTTAGATAAACGATGACGAGAGCCAAAACCATAGCTGTGTCAGAAAGAGAGAAAAAAAGAAGAAATGGATGAGATA